ACGTCCTCCAGTTTCATCCATGTTATGCTTCACAGATTCATCATTGTTCTTTATTGTTGCATAATACTCCATTGTTTGTATGTACCATAGTTTGTTTATCCATTCATCTATTGATGGGCATCTAGATTGTTTCCATCTTTTTGCTGTTGTGAACAATGCTGCCATGAACATGGGTGTACATATGTTTACTCATGTGACAGGTCTTATTCCTCTAGGATATATTCCTAGGAGTGGGACTGCTGGATTGTATGGTATTTCTATTTCTAGCTTTCTAAGGAAACGCCATAAATGGTTGTATCATTTTGCATTCCCACCAGCAGTGCATAAGAGTTCCAATCTCCCCAGAGCCTCTCCAACATTTATTTCCAGTGTTTTTGATTCGTGCCAGTAATGCCGGGGTGAGATGGTAGCTCATCGTGGTTTTAATTTGCATTTCTCTAACGGCTAGTGGTTGCGAGCATTTCCTCATGTGTCTGCTGGCCACTTGAATGTCTTCTTTGGTGACGTGTCTGTATATTTCCTTTGCCCATTTTTTAATTGGATTATTTGTCTTTTTATTGTACAGCTGTTGGATTTTCTTATAGATTTTAGAGATTAGACCTTTGTCTGACTTGTAATGTCCAAAAATTTTTTCCCAGTCTGCAGGTTCTCTTTTTACTCTTTTGGTGAAGTCTTCTGATGAGCAAGTGTCTCATTTTTAGAAGATCCCAGTAATCCAGCTTATCTTCTGGGGTTTGTGTGTTGTTTGTTTGTATCTAGGTTCTTTTTTTTTTTTTTATTGTTGTGCTTTAAGTGAAAGTTTATAATTCAAGTTAGTCTCTCATACAAAAATTTATACATAGATTCTTATGTGACCCTAGTTGCTCTCCCTATACTGTGACAGCACACTCTTCCTTTCCACCCCAGATTTCCGGTGTCCATTCAACTAGCTCCTGTTCCTTTCTGCCTTCTCATCTCACCTCCGGACAGGAGCTGCCCGTTTAGTCTCATGTATCTACTTGAGCTAAGAAGCACACTCTTCACAAGTATCATTTTATGTCCCATAGTACAGTCTAATCTTTGTCTGAGGAGTTGGCCTCAGGAATGGTTTTAAGTTCTGGGTTGACAGAGCCTCCGGGGGCCACGCTTTCTGGGGTTCCTCCAGTCTCAGTCAGACCATTAAGTCTGGTCTTTTTTACCATCTAGGTTCTTTATGGATTGTGTACCAACCTCCAAACACATCATCTAATACTTTCATTTTAAACCTACTATTCCAGTAAACACTAGGCCAGAGTATGCTAGTGGGAGAAGTGGGGAAAGAAGAGAGGCCCAGAAAGACATGTAATGGTGTGGTCCATTCTGGAAGGTGTGGCTCCCCAAAACAAACAAAGAAACAAAGGCACTGATATGAAATCTTTCCCTGTACTCCCACAGGAGCAGTGACAGAAGATTCTAGCTTGGTCTAACAGATGTGAACTAAAAAATATATATATATATATATTCTAGACATTAGAAACCAGCCTAGAAGCTATCCACAATAACTGATCTTCCCTGTGGATCTCGGACAGAGATTCTACCAGCACCCAAATGAAGACCAGGTGAGGTCAAGGATAACCTATATACACTCTCTGGTATTGGCAAATACCGTTATCTGGCTAGACTGCTTTTCATTCATAGTAAGTAAAAATTAGAGGCCCACCAAGGTAATTAGGAAAAACATAATGCAGCATACGAGAAAAAGAAGATCTCTCCGTGGACTCAAAAGAATTATCAGCAAAACTAGAAAATTTTAGGAAACAAATAGCCTCTTCAGTAGGATATAAGACAATCATGACTGCTTAGAACAGAAAGCTGTAAGGGAGAAAAGACTAAGATGAAGAAAACAACAGAATGAGATGCAATGACAAACTAAGCGAAATAAAAAATGTAATAGCAGAATTAAGTCCAAACGGGAGGCTGGAAGAAGCATGACTGTGTAGAACTTTCATATCAAAATTACATGGGGTGATGCATTTCACACTGGAGTCTAAAGGCCACTAGATACGGGCTGGGTATGGGTGCCAACTGACCTGGTTTCAATAGTGTATGGAATTTTAAAATGTTTTAAAAAATTTTAATTAAACATTTAAAAAATGTGTTTAAAAATCTGGTTACATCTAAAGAAAAAACAAACAAACATTCTGGATCATCTAAATGAGCTCCTTGTAACTGAGAACCAAAATTTAATTTCAGGGCTTACATGAGTGAAACGGATAAAACTGGCGTTAACTAACATTACTTTAACTGCAGGAGACTAATGAGAAAAATAAGAGGTAAGAGAATGTTGTTGTTTTTAGGTGTCATTGAGTTCATTTCAAATCACAGCGACCTCACGTGACAGAGTAAAACAACTGCCCCACAGGGTCTTCTAGACTGTAATCTTTACAGAAGCAGACTGCCAGGTCCTTTCTCCTGTGGAGTTACTGGGTGCATTCAAACTGCCAACCATTCAGTCAGCAGCTGAGCACTTAACCGTTGCTCCACGAGGCTCCCTGGTAAGAGAATACATCAATAATAAATTCTAGTCAGATCAGATCATGATGCACTGTAGGAATGAAGGTCTGCAATAGTTGAGTAGAAAACTGGTGGGAGAATGAGTTATCACATGGCATTTAGTAGTATGCTGTTGTTGTGTGCTGCTGTTAAGTCAGCCCTTGACTCATGGTGACCCTATGCACAACAGACAGAACCTTTGTGATCCATAGGGTTTTTACTGGCTGATTTTTGGAACTAGATTGCCAGGCCTTTCTTCTTAGTCTGGAAGCTCCACTGAAACCCATTCAGAATCACATCAACATGCAAGCCTCCAATGACAGACTAGCCGTGGCTGCACTTGAGGTGAATTCAACCCAGGTCTCTAGAATGTGAGGCAAGAATTCTATCACTGAATCACTACTGCCCTCTCCTTAGCAGTATACTAACACTAAACTCAAAAGAAAACAGTCATATAGCAGCCTATTAGCAGTAAATTAATTTCCACAAACAACATATTTATCAAATGAAATTAATGTTAATTTGAGCTTCACTGGCTTTGTAGTTCTCTTTATTTGGCTGTATAGTTGTATAAACGTATAAGAGTTTATAGTTATTATTATGTTTATGGAGTCCCTGAGTGGTACAAACTGCCAACATGCTTGGCTGCTAACTGAAAGGCTGGAGGTTCAAGTCCACCCAAAGGTACCTTGGAAGAAAGGCTGGTGATCTACTTCTGAAAAAATCAGCCCTTGAAAACCCTATGGAGCACAGTTCTACTCTGAAACACATGGGCTCTCCATGAGTTGGGAACTGACTCGATGGCCACTTTTTTTCCCCAATGAACATAATTTATATTAACACTTAAATACATGGGACTTTTTTCCCTTTAATAGGATTACAAATACTGTGACAGTCTGTGAAACACTCATTATTTATAAATCACTACACTATTTAGTCTTTTACTTCCTTTTGGAAGAAATGATGAAAGAACTGAACAGAAGATTTCAAAGGGCAGCTCGAGAAGAAAAAGTAAAGTAGTATAATGACATGTGCAAAGAGCTGGAGATAGAAAACCAAAAGGGAAGAACACGCTCAGCATTTCTCAAGCTGAAAGAACTGAAGAAAAAATTCAAGCCTCTAGTTGCAATAGTGAAGGATTCTAAGCAGAAAATATTAAACGAGGCAGGAAGCATCAAAAGAAGATAGGAGGAATACACAGTCATTATACCAAAAAGAATTGGTCGATGTTCAACCATTTCAAGAGGCAGCATATAATCAGGAGCCGATGGTACTGAAGGAAGAAGTCCAAGCTGCGCTGAAACCACTGGCGAAAAACAAGGCTCCAGGAACTGATGCAATAACAATTGAGATGTTTCAATAAACGGAAGCAGCACTGGAAGTGCTCACTTGTCTATGCCAAGAAATTTGGAAGACAGCTATCTGGCCAACCGACTGAAAGAGATTCATATTTATGCCTATTCCCAAGAAAAGCGATCCAACCAAATGCAGATATTATTGAACAATATCATTAATATCACACACAAGTAAAATTTTGCTGAAGATCATTCAAAAGCAGGTGCAGCAGTATACTGACAGGGAACTGCCAGAAATTCAGACCTGATTCAGAAGAGGACGGGGAACCAGGAATATCATTGCTGATGTCAGATGGATCCTAACTGAAAGCAGAGAATACCAGAAAGATGTTTACCTGTGCTTTATTGACTATGCTAAGGCATTCGACTGTGTGGATCATAACAAATTATGGATAACATTGTGAAGAATGAGAATTCCAGAACACTTAATTGTGCTCATGTGGAACCTGTACATAGATCAAGAAGCAGTTGTTCAGACAGAACAAGGGGATACTGCGTGGTTTAAAGTCAGGAAAGGTGTGCATCAGGGTTGCATTCTTTCACCATACCTATTCAATCTGTATGCTGAGCAAATAATTCAAGAAGCTGGACTATATGAAAAAGATTGGAAGACTCATTTACAACCTGTGATACACAGATGACACAACTTTGCCTGCTGAAGAGGACTTGAAGCACTTACTGATGAAGATCAAAGACCACAGTCTTCAGTATGGATTACTCCTCAACATAAAGAAAACAAAAATCTTCACAACTGGACCAATAACCAATATCATGATAAACGGAGAGAAGACTGAAGTCGTCAAGGATTTCATTTTACTTGGATCCACAATCAACACCTATGGAAGCAGCAGTCAAGAAATCAAAAGACACACTGCACTCGGCAATCTGCTGCAAAAGACCTCTTTAAGGTGTTCAAAAGCAAACATATGGCTTGACCCAAGCCATGGTATTTTCAATCACATCATATGCATGCAAAAGCTGGACAATGAATAAGGAAGACTGAAGAAGAACTGATGCCTTTGAATTATGGTGGTGGCAAAGAATACTGAATATACCACGGACAGCCAGAAGAATGAATAAGTCTGTCTTGGAAGAAGTATAACCAGAATGCTCCTTACAAGCAAGGATGGCGAGACTACATCTTACATACTTTGGACGTGTTGTCAGAAGGGATCAGTCCCTGGAGAAGGACATCATGCTTGGTAAAGTACTGGGTTGGCGAAAAAGAGGAAGACCCTCAACGAGATGGACTGACAAAGTGGCTGCAACAATGGGCTCAAGCATAACAACGATTGTGAGCATGGTGGAGGACCGGGCAGTGTTTCATTCTGTGGTACACAGGGTCGCTAGGAGTCGGAACTGCCTTGACAGCACCTAACAACAACAACATCCAGTCTTTTAAAAAGTGAGACACACAACATTCATTTCTAACAATATGATAGGATTAGGTTATATACTTTTGTATTAATGGTATTGTTTTGTTAGAAAATAAATTTTAAAGAAACATTAAAAAGTGAAACAATACAGAACAGATGCAAAGCATGTTTAGGATTGCATCCAGCTAGGCAAACCATTTGAAAAGAATATTCTGGGACAACTGAGGAATTTCAATATGGACTAGATGAATATAAGGAATCATTAAACTGGGTAAGTGTGATTAAGTTATTTTCGCTGTGTAGGAAGGTTCTTGGTGAACAATGAAATATAAGAAATTAAAAATAAAGTAGATGTTGCCTGTAAACAGCAGCAGGGCCCTTTAACAAATGCTACTTTCTACTCTCTTTGCTTGGGAAAAAAAAGAAATCCCGACATCGAGACTCTACTGAAACCTGAAGCTGTGTTACCGTGACTAGATTAATTAAAAGAAAGCAAATAAATTTATAAAGATGCTCCTGATAAAGTATTTTGCATAGATTCCCTTCCTATAAACAGATACCCAGCGTTTACTGGGTATCTTTTCTCAAAACTTTTCAGAGTTGAAAACTTCTGCTAAATTATTCCCTAATGAATACATAATGCATGTTCCTATTCAACTCTTAGCAGAAAATGAATGTACTTACCTCCTGTGCGTCTCTTGCTGCCTTTGCATCATCCTCATTATAGCGGTTACAGTTGTACCTTAAAGTAAATTAAGACGATGCCATAAAACAATAAAAAGAGAACAAATCACAATTTTAACCAACATTCTCCTTTACAGATAAACTGAGATGTTAAAATGCCCAAGGTGCTACAGTTATAATGACAGAATTACTAAGCTGAAAAAATGAAAAGTTTTGCTGAATCTAATCCACATTAGTGTCTGAATACTCTCGCAGTCTATTCCAAATCAGCTCACCTATAATCATTGGGAAACACTGTCATTCTAGAACTTCCATTTACTGGCTGTTGTCTGAACTTCTCAATCAATTTTTGAAGATAATCTCATTTCCTAGGTCTTCTCTTATTTAGGCCAAATATTCTCCACTTTGTAGAGTTACTCACCTTATCTATTCTTTTATAAGCAAAAGAGAACCAGTAGACACCGTGCTATATACTTTGATGCTATTACAATCTGTAAGAGTCATTTAAAATTGCATGACATACATAATGAGGGGTGGGGAGGGAACATGCCCAGAGAAGCTCAGAGTAGAGATGAGCAAGAGTGGCTATTCCCTTGTCCTGGATACTCTACCTCTTTTATGGGAGCCTACATTATGGGAGAAGCTGGTATTTATCGAGTGCTTACTACAAAACATACTTGCTAAAAAACTTTATATGTACTATCAGATACTATTCTTACTGATCAGATGAAGAATTAGATTAAGAAAAGATAAGTAACATCCTTGAAGTCACATAGGTAGTTTCAGAGCTGAGAATTATTATGTCTGTCTGCCAACTAAGGTTTATGCTCTTAACCAGTGAGTACTACATTACTCACAGGCTATTAAGTCATATTTTCAAAATCTTTTAACAGTGATCTTTTTCGATCTAAAGGAAAAATTTGAATTGAATTTAAATCTTGTTAAGTTAAGCCACTACTCCAGCTTGTCAAGCTCTTTAGGATTTTAATGGTCAATATATTCAATACTCCTCTTTAATGTTACCCCAAAATGTATCCAAGATTCTTGTATTAGTTCAAACAAGTCATCAATAAAACAGACCAGGAAAAGAGTATGTAATACTTAATGCATGAATAAAAAGGATTAGGACAAAGCCTTTCAACAAGCCTTTAAAGCTATTCCATAAGAAGACATGAATCCATTTATCTGTATTCCTAGAAATGGTCACTCAATCCATTCCAAATATCCCTACCTGCATTCAAAGCCTAGGCCACAAACTTCTCAGTCCACACTGAAATATAGTGCTGAAATCTTAAACACACTCCTAGGTCTACCATCCTCGTGATACCATTTAATTTTGGGATTTTGCATAAGGGAAGAATTAAGTTCTATGGTCCATGTACAGTTGGTGGAATAAATCACAAATTTTGGAAATTTGGAATTACAGTTTGTCTGTCTCTAGTCTTTGGTACCTATTTTCCATCATTACTCAGAAATAACAACCCTGGTTCGGTGATCGCATCTTTAAGTCCCCCCCCCACCCCCGGAAATCTTTATTATTATACAAAATCTATATAACACAGTATTTGCCAATTCAACATTTTTTACATGTACAATTCAGTAACACCAATATATTAGTTATGTCAGGCAACTATCACTTATCTTCAAGTTTAAAGTACCCCAGAACACACTTCAACTGGGTCAGATTAATTATTAATTTCCTCCCAGCTTGGGTTTACAGTCTTCTCTTACTAATAATTACTCTACTCAACCTAGCACAATAATCACTCTTGTTGACAGAAACTGAAATTGCCATCTATTGGTCAACTATTAACATTTCTCCATCTGCATCTCTTCTTCCTGTTATATCTTTAACAACTTCCCTTTTGATTTTTTTTTTAGATATCTGTAAGCCTCAACTCATTCTGCACTTCATTTGGCCAACATTATTAAGGATCTTAAACCCAGAAAGCAAATAAGATTCATCTATGCTTCCAACTCAGATGACTGACAGTGCTACTTGAAATGCTATTTTGAGGATTCTGAGGCATTTTCAGATTTCAGAAAGAAAGCATGCCCTGATTCATTTGCAATGTCAGCCATGGGTAAAGGCATGGGTAAAGACACAAGCAGCATACCTGACACCCCAGCCCAAGACATTCTTCTGTATCCATCATTTGTTACGTACCTTTTAAAGGTTTTGATGCAGCTCATTTCAAAGTTGAGGTATGGTCAGAGATTCCCTTACACAACAACGCATCTCTAAATGGCATTTCCTCACTCTCTTCCCCCTTCACAAGACTTGTTTACAGGGTGAGTTTAGGGTCCGGGAACATTCTAACCCTTCAATTTGCCTTCTTAAAGTCTAGGGTACCTGTCTGGCGAAACCCCAAATGTGCTTCCTCAGCTCTAAGAGTGGCACATTCACTCTCTTTATCTCCACTTACCCAGTCAGTTTTGACCTGTTCAGAATTTAACTTCAGAGAAGTAATCCCTCTTACTATTTCTCTAACATCTATCCAATGAAACTAAAAGGGAAGACTTGCCATTGTCTCAAGTTCAGATTCCCTTCATCTTGTCTTGAATCTACAATCTCTTCCCTTGCCATCCATTCTCTACAAAGCAGCCAGAATTATAAGATAATGTATATAAAGCACATAATACAGAGTCCTCTTTATCTAAATTATAGATCTGATCACATCACTCCCACTCAAAATCCTTTATTCTTACTAAATGAAAAACAATGATGCCATTGTGATAAATGCAAATGACATTAAGCTTCAGTTTTGGGGAAACATATCAAATTGGAAAGTAAAGGCCCCACCTAAAGAGCTGCCACTCAGTTCTAGGTTGCTAAACAGGAATGCAAACCTGTTTCAAAGATAAGCTAAAAATCTGGATTTGGGGGGAGAAATTTCCAGATTTTAGGATAAAATTTTTGTCTAAGTGATGTGCAGGGTAAATAAAACACATCTGCAGGTTAGGGTTTGTCCAGTCTATTAGTTTTCAACTTCTGCCTAGAGAGCAGAAATCTCTAAACAGGTCATGTACTTTTTTGTTCATGCTTCTCCTTCTGCCCTGAATGTATTTCCCACCACTTTTTCAACTAATGAACTTAGTCCTGCTTACAGTTCATCTCAATTGTTAACCTCCTCTGTGAATATGCCTAACTAATCCCTCTTTCTGCATAACTTGCATATACTCTCTTCTAACAATGATCACACACTATTTTTATTTTACGTATCTCCCAAGTTAGATGGTGATTTTTATGAGGTAGAAGCCTTATTGATAATACTTGGCACACAGCACATACTTATGTGAACATATTCTTCCCTTTATATCCCCAACCTACCAGGCAGATCCATGTGGTTCCCAAGGGCCAAGACACACCCAGCAAAACTCTGCTTTACAGTTCTGGTTACGACAGACCATGTGATTACAACCGCCATCCTTCTCAATTGTGACATGGCATTTGGGACATTCCTATGAAGAGAAACTATAAAGTTGGTGTCAATGCTACACTAAGTTGTATTACTACCACTGAGGAGAAGCCAGTTCTAGATTCATTTTCATATACCATATTTACTGTGATTAATACATGTAAACACTTAGAATAGTGTCCAACACTTAATAGTAAGCATTATTAAAAATTAGTTGTTATCATTGTTATTACTGGCTTTTAAGTGTACAATTTTATGAGGACTTTTTTTAGTGGAGTTGGGGGACAAAAACATTGTTAAGTACTTTTTGTCACATATGTAGTAACAGCAGTTTCATGGGAGGTGAAATATTTTATATACATATACACTTCTCATGTCATCTAGAAATAATTATTGAGCGTTTACTATATCTCATGCACTGTTCCCAATGTTTTATATGCATTAATGCATAATCCTTATAGTGGCACTATTACTATTTCCATTTATCAGGTGAATAAACTAAGGTAGAGAGAAATAATGAAGAAATTAGTCCAAAGTCACACAGGTAGTAGATAAGAGTCAAGATTCAAATCCAAGCAATCTGGTCTCAAGAGCCAGGCAAGCAGGAAATCAGGCCTTGACTGGTAAATTTTTCTTGTGTCTACACAATTTCCCAACTGTCATCTGCCTAATACTCATGTTTTAAATTCTTCTCATTGTGGCCCATTTACAAATGTGTTACAGAGATTTTGAGTTAGGTTATTTTTTTCCAAGTCCCTATCATTTTCTTGATGGCTGGTGAGTCAAAGTTACTGTTCTTTAGGTCTACAGTTGTTTATTTTCTGAAATATCTAGAAAATTAAACTCACTCATTATATTTATTAAAATTATAAATAACATAAAGCTTGTATTTTTGCTGTATTTACATATGTTTGTAACCCCTACTAGGGGGGAGTATCATCTATTTATTAATATTTACATAATTTGGCATTCTTTGTGAAACAGACTATCCTGACCACAAACTGTAATAACTTTAAATAGGCCAATATGGCAATTTTTTACATTATGTATTTTAAATTGAATTTCTGAAATTACCCACGTAAGACATTTTCCCAAATTAGCAAATTCCAGGCATAAAATGTTTACTTCATTCTACATTTCATGGTTATAATTAACCAGATGTTCTTAAGCTCCCAGTATGTTATGCTACCATCAGCTAGCTGCAAATCTGTTTAAGAAGCTAATAATAATAATAAAAGGCTCTGAAACCTCTCAAACTCTTGGTGTCATCTCAAAACTACCAATTTTTTTTTTATTGTGCTCTAAGTGAAAAGTTTACAGTTCAAGTCAGTTTTTCATATAAAAATTTATACACGCATTGCTATGTGACCCTAGCTACTCCCCCTATAATGTGACAGCACACTCCTCCTTTCCACCTCAGGATTTCCCGTGTCCATTCAACCAGCTCCTGTCCCTTTTTGCCTTCTCATCTCACCTCCGGACAGGAGCTGCCCATTTAGTCTCATGTATCCACTTGAGCTAAGAAGCACTCTCTTCACCAGTATCGTTTTCTGTCTCACAGTCCAGCCTAATCTTCGTCTGAAGAGTTAGCCTCGGGAATGGTTTCAGTTCTGGGATAACAGAGAGTCCAGGGGCCAAGTCTTCTGGGGCCCCTCCAGTCTCAGTCAGACCATTAAGTCTGGTCTTTTTACTAGAATTTGAGTTCTGCACCCCAGTTTTCTCCTGTTCCATCAGGGACTCTCTGTTGTGTTCCCTGTCAGGGCGGTCACTGGTGGTAGCCAGGCACCATCTAGTTCTGGTCTCAGGCTGATGGAGAATCTGGTTTTTGCAGCCCTTTCTGTCTCCTGGGCCAAGCAGCTAAATTTGCTATTATAAATCACCATTCTTCCTGGGTAAGTCACCTCGCCTTCCAAACAAAGTAAAAAATATCCAAGCTCTTATAAATACGAGTTTCACAGAGCATATTTAAGGCTCCTGAGACTTTAATAAACAATATAAAATAACAACAACAAAAAGAAGTAACCGCTTGCTTTCCTGACAGTACAGTATATCTAGCAAAGTTTTTCTGAGTGACACAAATCATGCTTACTTATCATGATAGCTTTTAGAAAGTAAAATAGTAATAATTTCTACCATACATCACTTAAAGATTTAAGTACTTGTTTTATGTGACAGGAATCACTGTTTCACTGCTAATGCTTTCTGGGAGACAGAAAACTTAATTTGCAAAAACAGTCCACTTGTACGTTTTAACCTTTTTTGGGTAGAGCAGGGTATTAATAGTATCACACTGTGTGTTTGTCTTACAGTTTAAGCACTCCTTATTTCTACCATTGTCCTGTGACTGCGGGGTGAACAGGGCAAAGTTATAATAATGGTCAAACAACTCAAACCATCATCTTCACATGTGAAAGAATACTAAAAATGAATAGCCCATGAATCAGTCTGTCATTTATCACTGAAGTGACTTCCTATAGAGACAGAATATAAAACTGAATTATTCTTTAAAAAGGATGGGTACTTATATAATTTTATATCAAGAGATTGGCTGGGGACCAAGAAGTTGAGATTCAAATGCTCCCTTATCATTAGCGACAGAAAAGAAGGGAGCTCAAGATTACTTGCACTTGGTAACACATCTCCTTCCAGGGTTAAGGGGAAGTAGTTCATGGTCATAAAGAGCTTAAATTTTGAAACTAGTATTACGAGCAATGTATTTCAAAACAAACAACAAAAAAAACCAAGGGTATTTGTTATTATCCAAAACTTCTATTTCTCAGGAGTCAAGTCGCTTAATAAATCACATTTTAAAAGTTTAACATGAAGTGAGAGATGACAAATCTTTAAGTCTAGTTCAGTTATATAATAAAAACTTATCAGGTGCTTAGGTGCTCTGCTCTAATGAACGCCCTAAAAAAATGAGTGACTCCTAAAACAGGTAAACCTTGGGGAGTTTTCAAGGTAGAAATGTAAATAAGCCTAATAGAACCAAGCCAGAGGCAGTAACTCTACAGTACATTTGTATACTAAAAGGAAGCCAAGAACAGTATAATAAAGAAGCATTATCAGAACCCAGACTAAAAAAACTGCTATTAGCTTATTCTTTTATGGGAAGCTAATATTAAAAGAAAACTTCTAAAGCATAGTACTTACTGTATATATTGCAGTTCAGTACCCGATACTCTAAAATTAATAGATACTCTAAAATAAACTCAAACACAAATAAGGGAAAGTTGTGTATTTGTTATTAGATAGGCTATCATTTTGAAAAAGCTTATGGAGAGAGAAGCCCTTAACCAGGTGAAGATATGGCTTTTGCCAACGCAGACACACCTATCCTTACCAGTTTCATTATCAACAGTTGCTGAAGGAAAATACCAACCTTTGTGTTGGCTGCAATCCAATTGGAGGTTTCACTGTCATCATCACACTTTTTAATCCACTTCTTTAACCACTGTTTGAAAACAACAATTGTTAGGGTACAACAAAAGTCTTAAATTACTTCAGCACTTAAATACATGTTTAAATATAAAAGCTAAAGACCAAGACTATCACTGGGCTTACTTCCTCTTGAACCAGAGAAATTCTGTACTTCTCCTATATACTATACCAGTATATAAAATCAACCAAAGGAGGATTTCTCTGGCTGAAGCTCAGTGGGGAACCTAGAGCGTGAAGAGAAGCCCAGCTTCAGGGTTTGTTTTTCAACTCAGCTAATTCCAAAGCTTGCCAAGGGAGGTGCTTTAGCCATGGTTACCCTGATAATCTGGAGCTTGACTTACTATTTTCCTCTTCTTATCCTAAAGAATGCTCCCTGAAAATCTATGATCATCATATGAAATAAAGCCCCCC